TGGTTGTCCTCACCGGTGGTATGCGCGCGCTGAACGCCAACTGGGACGGCTCATCCCACGGCGTCTTCACCAAGCGTCCTGGCCAACTCACCAACGACTTCTTCGTCAACCTCCTCGACAACAACACCGAGTGGAAGGCAACTGATGCAAGTAAGGAGCTGTACGAGGGCGTTGACCGCAAGTCCGGCCAGAAGAAGTGGACCGCCACTCGCCACGACCTTGTCTTCGGTGCGCATCCCGAACTCCGCGCTGTCGCCGAGACATACGCCTCACCCGATAACGCGGACAAGTTTGTCAAGGAGTTTGTTGCCGGATGGGAGAAGATTATGAACAACGACCGATACGATGTCAAGAACAAGTCGGTGAGTGCACAATCGAGTGGAGCAAACAGGCCGCGTCTGTGAGAAGAATCACATGCAGTCACGGTCGCGTTTTCGTTCCCCTGTTTCCGCGCGTGTAACCTACCTTCTACTTTTCCTGAGTGGGTAGCATGGTGGTTGGGTTGTGTTACACTCGCTGACGTTTTCTTCACTAGACTTGAGTCTTGTCATTGTTTTTACATGAAGAAACCTTTGCCATGAGATATGAGATACCTAGGTAGTACCGTTGTGTCCCAACACACAGAAGGAATAAGACTATGATACAATGCACATTTACATCAAGAATGGATTTACGTGCTAATTGGGCGTGATTTTGCCGTCTTGACATTGGTTCTGGGTTGTGGTCTCACTGTCAAACACAAGATATTCATCGGAACAAACACGTACAGCAAACAAACACATTGATTCATTTGTCGACGCAAGATGAGGTTGTCGAGGTGGAAAGAGGAGAGAGAATGCTACATAAAACGCCAGCGCGCCCAAGCGCATGCTCTAACCCAGGTCATTAATCTCGTTATGCTCAACGCAGGTGTAGGAAAGTCCAATTCACGGCAACCCAATACCGCATCGCTATGCTCCTTCCGCGTTCGTCGTAATGTGAATCCCAGGTGTCGCAAGCTTGATCATCGTGCACTAGGCACAAGCTCATCTTGATGCTTTCGCAGCGTAATAGTAAGTCGCTGCACCAGTACCAAGAACAAGAGCGGAAGCACTGAAGCTTTTGTGTTAGCAATGGCGTGTCTCAATACTGTCATTGTGTGATGGAATTCGTACGAGGCAAGAGCGCCAAAAGCCACATACTCAAGGATTCAGGGAGAAAAGGAAACGGTGTTCGCTCACCTAGCTCGCTTCCGATCGCCAAAACAAGCAGTCATGAGGTGACCGACGGGCCCAAACATGACTCGGAAGAAATGCTGAAGAAAGTTCTCGTTGTGATGATTCGGTCGCTGTGCAAGTGCAGGCTTCGCTGCCTCGACAATCTTGTCTTTGATACTGACACCATCTACCACTGCGCTTGTCGCATCTTCTGATGTCTCTGAAGAATCCTCAACTAGTACTCTGCGCTGCCGAAGGTCAGAATCCGGACCGGCTACAGGGTGCGCACCTGCGGTGGTAGCCTTGGGCTCAGACGTAACTTGATCCATGGCAGGTTTCTCGGTGTTGACAGATGCGGTGATGGCATCTCGCAGAGCATTGGAAGCCCGAGAGACGTCTTTGGCACCGTCATGCTTATCCACACTTTCCGCTTCGCTGGACTCGTGGGTATGATTACTCGACTCGTCGTGTTTGGTGTCGACAGCGTACCCAAGTTGCTTACTCTCATCAGGCAGTGGGGTTGCGTATGGGTCACGAACGAACCTGGCGGGCGGACTAGACATGCGGGTAGTATTGTGACTGATGTACACGGGCGATGGCATACTGTCTAGATCATGGTGGTCCTCCTCTTCGTCGCTGAATTCGTCTTCAGGTACAGAAGCTAGCGAGGTGTACGATTTGACAGGTACAAGATCGACAGAGGAGCACGCTTGAGATAGAACAGATGGCTGGGGAGAATGTGGCCGCTCGTGCATGGATTCATCTTCGGGAAGATGCATGCCAATTGTCGCTACACGTTCCAAGATTGATTGACGGCTAGTGGGAAATCGTTCCAACGACGGATCGTTCAGGTCATGATCTTCCGCATCTGATTGTGGTAGCCTGTGGGGAAGATTGCTTCCTGTTCGCCCTCTAAAGAAGTCGTGTCGGCCAGCTCCGCCGAACAGTTCTCTCGCGTTGTCCGTCTCGTAACCAAAAGTCGGTTGCTTGTCCAGAGAAAAGGGGGTATCGTCCTCTGAAAAGACAGACCCAGTGCTACTGACAGCAGATGCTTCGCGTTCATGGGGGAGGAGAGGTGCATCGCCCTCTTCATTCTCAGCGTAGTCATCCTCGTCGTCCTCGTAGGCCCCGTAGTGACATGGCTCCGAGATTCCCGAGTTATCACTCTTAGTAACGATCTCGCTTCCCCTATAATCCGAGAAGCCACTTTCATGTGATAGCAACGGATACCTGTCGAGTTCGTCCTCGTCATTTTCAGATTCGGTTGGAATTCTGCCGTCATCATGGAAGCCAGTCTCGTGAGGAAGGAGAGGAGCTCCACCGAAATCATCGTCATCGTCATCGTCGTCGTCAGTTTCATGGGAAAAATGCGGACCGTCGCTCAGCCCCGCTCCGCCATTCTCGAAGCCCGTCTCGTGGCTGAGTAAGGGCGCTAGATGCAACTCGTCACTGTCGTCAGGCTCCGAAGGTGTATCTATGGCCTCTCCGGAACTAGTCTGGTCTGTCGATGATGGCGCAGACTCATCGTCGATGATTATAGCGGGAGCGATCTGAGGATCATGATCCGCTCGGAAAGACTCATGGCGAAACAATGGAGCAGCATCGCCATCATCAGACTCTGGCTCCGTATGGGACCCGGGCACGATATTGAGCTGGTCTGGCAAGGAATCCGCGGCTCTCATGTCATGCGCAGCCTTTTGGGCGGTCGTAGCGCCGGCGCCGAAGTCATCTCCATATGCAGGCCGACGGTCAGTCTTGTCGACTACCAGAAGAGGAATCTCGGGTGTTTTCGGAGCTGCTGTCTCGACTGGGGAGTCTACCTTGGTTCCCTGAAGGCCAGGTTCTGAGTCGGCAGCGCGTTTAGCAACATGTTCAGGCAGATGGGCGTAGTGGGTTTGATCGTAAGCTAGCTGCTCCTGGTTTATTGTACTGTCTTTGCGGTCCTCGGGCATCTTTGAGGGATTCCCGGGGGAAGTCTCTAGGGCGGCTGTGTTGGTGGTAGCTTCGGACGCTGGGCGCAGGGAGGTGCTCTCGCTGGCAGGCTTGACGTGGACAAGGTTGTTGCGAATGCCCTGGTCGACGGCAGCTGCGGAGAGTCAGCGGGACAGTCGACGAGGACGTAGAAGGACATACCGGTTTCTTTCGACTCGTCCAGCACCCAATGGTCCTCGCCGACGCGGATCTTGTACTGGTGGCTGCCTTCAGCGACGCCAGTGAACTCTCTGCTGAAGATGAGGTCGCCCGAGGCCGTCTTGTCGTGCAGGGGCTGCATCTGCACCAGCGTCCAGTCGTTCAGGGAGGTGGTGACATAGACGGGCGGCTGCACGCCCGGCTGCGAGAAGGTGATGGTCGCGCGGGCGGCCATGGTGCCGTCGAGGGTCGGGTTGGGCAACGGCGGGGGTGGAGAGGGTGGAGGGAGCAGGGTGGGGTATGCAGGATGGCTCGCGTGCCTGGCAAGCCGCGGCGGGTCGTGGGCGAGGGGAGCGTCTACGGGCAGAGGAATATGGTCAGTGGTTGAGGATGGCGGTATGCTAGCAGGCCACAGAGGCCGGGGAGACTGGTGAGAGGTGTAGGCGGACATGCAACGGGGCGGGAGAGGAACAGGTGTGGTACAGACGAGGGGAGCATGCCAGCTTACAGCGCAGTGACGCCAAATGTCGTGCCAGCGACCCGAGGCAGGCAGGCAGGCAGGCAGGCAAGTGTCGAGGCAGGCGGGCAAGCGTTGAGGCCGCCTCAGGGCAGGAGCGGCTCGCCTGGTGGGTTGCGGCTTCCCTGTTCCGTTGGGCAACACGCGCAGGCGTTGTGGCTGCGGCGGATGCCTCTGCTCTTCGCCCGCCCGCCTGTTGGAGCCTCGATGCTTTTCGTGCGGTGCTGCCAGAGTGACGTGAATGCAACGTCCAACACGCATCAGCGCTAGCCCGCCCGTAACCGAAACCAGGCTGCCTCCGCGGCGATCCTCGACCTCATGCTCCGGGTTTCTTCATCGCCCGCCATCTGATCGTCGGTCTGCCCAACACCCGAGCAGCGCAAGCAGTGACTAGGCCCTTGTGAAAACCCCCCTGAGACGTCCAAGAAGACGTCTATGCCATCGTCACCAGCCACACCGGGATAGCCCGTCGGCCTGGTGCACGCGCGCGGCCAATTACCGTGTATCTCAGAAACACTCGAACCATTCGTTCAGCCTCCCGCCCACGCAACCCGAGGCCATGTTCTCCCACAAACCTCCGATACCATTGTGCCGGGATCGTGGCTCCAAACAAGGTTTCGAGATGCGCGCTGCGACAGGGCTTGCCGCACCATGACCACGCGACAACCCACAGTGCCGATGCCGACAAGAGGCATGCACAGGCCGCGTGGCTCTTTGTGCACCGTTTGATGTGCTTCTGGAAGGCAATCTTAGTTTCAACAGCGCCGCCTCAATAATGCCGTGCCGAGTCTTGCAACGTGCCCATCGCCCTGTCGCACTTTGGGTGTCGTAACTCGTCCACGATGTATTAGATGTGTGTAGGTCCCGTCTGCCAGCCTCTAGTCTGGTCATCATCCTTCACTTTGCTTTTCGCTTCCTCTTCTCCAGTCGGGCGTTTGGAAACCTTGCGCCGTCGTAGCATCAACTCTCGTAGCCCCATGTCAAACCTTCGGACATCGTATAGCTCAACCAGGTACCGAACTCGCAATGGGGCACATCGTATACGTCGCGAACGGGCGTGACCAAGGGCCCGTCATAGGCCGAGTCAGTATGGCCATGTATACCGTCGCTGTGGCGTTTGTGGCTCTTCGGCAAGCACCCATCTTCGCCACGAGCAAATGTCGTATTGCTAACAAAATGTAGATGCTTCACGCGCGGATACGTTGTCAAGAAATTCGGCCTAGACGATCTCTTCATCGCCATCGCCGTTACCCTCGGAGCCGCACAGACTGTCACCATCATATTGCAAATCGAGCATGGCCAGGGACGACATGCATCAGAGCTTCACGTGGAGCAATTCGACGAGATGCTCATGGTATGTTCAACACACCTTGTGACACTCGACTTAGTACTGACAGTGGACTAGTACCAATGGATCAATATGCTCATCTACTTTGTCGCAAATTGGTATGCTGCAACATCGCTCTCGACATCAGCTTCCAAGATTAACTTTATTGCAGGGCGGTCAAGATGAGCATCTTATCTCTGTACTACCGAATCGGCTATGGAAAACAGGGCCTGCCATGGATCGTGCAGTCACCTGCTGTATGGACAGCGGCCGGCTTTATGACTGCCTTTAGTTTCTCCGTCTTCCTTGTGAGTTTCATGCCCGTCTATCTGTACGAGATGCACAACTGACATCGTCCGGAGGCTCAATTGTTCATCTGTACACCAGTATCACGTGTCTGGGATATCGAAGCCCAACCCGATGGATGCATTAATGCTGCCATGTTCATGGTCATTTCGGGTGCCATCAATGTCGTCACTGATATTGTCTTGTTGATCTTCCCGTTGCCTTTGATATGGGTGATCAAATTCAACAAGAGACAAAGGAGTAAGTCGACGTCTTTATGTCTCTATGAACGCTCATTGTTGACCGTCCCTTCAGCGGCTCTAGCAGTCATTCTCTCTATCGGCGTCATCCCGGTCATAGCCAGCACCATGCGCCTTTGCGAGATTGTCATGTCGGACAGTCCCATCAGACCAGGAAGTACATGGCAAGAAGTCGATTTCAGCTGGTACGCCTTCGCCTAGCCCGTTCTCTTTACTAGTAGCATTTTCTGACAAATGAACCGCAGGGGCTGGTCTTGGGTTCCAGTATGGTCCCAAATCGAGGTTGACATTGGCATTCTGGCCGCCTCTCTTCCCTCACTGTCCCCTTTACTCAAACATGTTTTCCACTGTCCCGCTCGAGCCACCACACCTTCCGAGGTACCCACTCTACCAGGATACCGCGGGAGTTGGGGAGAAAAGAACCTGGTCAGCATGGACGACGAAGACGATATCGAGAAATCGCCATGGGACTTTGCATTACCCGAAGAGAAGAATGGCGCATTCGATTTCGATGTGGAGAGGAGATTGACCGTTACGGAGATTGAAATGGGAAAGGCTATGGATATGGGGAACAGTTACTTCGATGATACCGCGTCGGAGGTCGAGGAGAGAGAATCGGTAGGTAGACCGAGTATAGGGGTCGCAAGGACGGCGGATGTTCATGTTCTGTCTCGAACCGGGGTGCCGAGGCTAATAGAGTATAAGAAATTATGACATTACGTTACAATGTTTGCCCTGTGGCCCATAGCGCACTATCTGTTGGTTTGCTGGCATGTACCTTATGTACGTACCGATGCTTGCTTACAACTGTTTGCAGCAAGCATGCTTGCCTTTATAGGCAGTTCTCATCTCATGTTAGAGTAAATCATCAATTCATCTCATATCTACTCACATCCAAGACTATCTGGGATGGTTCAGGGATGGGACCTTCATTTCTCGTGGTGCATCATGTTAGTGTAGTCATCAGGTGGTATACAGGGTGTTAGTACAAGTCATCTACCGTCAAAGGGCTTCCGACGCTTCACCAGCGTCCGAAGCTATCGAACGCGGAGCTGAATTGAGTAGCTGGGTCGCGTCAGTCACGATCCTCGTCATCATACCGTATGCGTGCGTTCACTTACCGTACCCACTCGTGACAGCGCATTCGCTCGCCTCAGCTTTCTCCATCGCTTTGGGCAGCCACTCCCTAATCTTCTCTTCCCTGTTGTGGTGACTCGGGTGCGTGCTCAGTATCTGCGGCGGCCCCGCCCCACCAGCCTTCTCCATGCGCGTCCAGAACTGCATTGCAGCTTCTGGTCGGTAGCAGCCCTGCGCCATCATCAAGAGACCAATGTAATCGGCTTCAGCTTCGTGCTTGCGGGAGGCGGGCATGGAGAGGAAGAGGTCGAGGAGCATTTTGCCCGAGTAAAAGGAGACATCGAAGAGAGATAGGGCGAGAACACCGAGGAGGATCAGAGGCGCTTGAGACATGCGTTCACTGTTCTTTGGTCAGTGCATGCTTCATCGGTCCGAGATAAGAGTACCAACGCAGTGTGATGCGCAACCACATGCGCAATCTCATGTCCCAGCACGGCTGCAATGCCATCCTCATCCTTGCACAGAGGCAGGATCCCCGTAAACACAAAGACCTTGCCCCCCGGCGCTACAAACGCGTTCTGTTCCGGAGACTCGATGACGGTGACCTCCCACTGCAAGTCTTTCAACCCTTCGCCCTCGGCATACGGCAACAAACGCTCCAAAACCCTCTTCACCTGCTTCACCCGCGAATCGCTATCCGGTAGTATCCTGCCTTGGTACTCTTGCCGCACTTGCTCTACGGATGACCGTCCCAGCGCTTCTTCGATGCCAGGCGAGATGATGTTGAAGCGGCGGCGACCAGAGACGGGCACTTCTTCGAGATTGTACAGGTAGACGCCGCCAGTGCCCACGCTGATCAGACCGACGTCACGGTAAAACGTTGGGCGGGCAGCCCAGCGAAATAGGAGACCGGAGAGGCCACCTGAGAGAGAGTTGAACCGTTTGTATTGCTGGCCACTGCGACCGAGTTGCTGGTAGGCACGGGATTGTGGAAGGCTACGGACATGCTGGAATGAGGGTTGATACGTGCGAGGTAGAGCGCGAATGGGTACGAATCGCGGTCGTATCCGGTACATGGCGGCGTTGATGTGGTGTTTGGGTGAGGTTTGGGCGAGCTTTGGCGATGAGATGGGGAAGGTGACGTGCATGCCTATGAACTCCGCGGGAATGCCAAGACAGCCACGGTTCGCTCCAAGGTCGTCAGCATTGGTCATGTTCGACTTGCGTGACGATCGCCTGTCGGCCCAACAGACGGACAGGAACCCCAGTTCACATAGCGCAGTGTAGGGATCTATTTAAGAAGATACAAAGCCGTTTCACCTACTTCTCCACAGGCTCACAGGCGTCATCTTCCATCGCGTATCGACAGGCTTGGAACATGGAAAAGTCGTAGCTCAATACGTTGAGCTAATACCGGCGATCCGCAACGTTCCCGTCGTTTACTCGCTCAGTGTTTCCAAATTCATTTCGGGATGCAACTTAAATGATACTCCTAGCTTCCGTCCAGATTGAAGTGGCCTTAACAAACAGATCGGACCTCGGGAACATCGAATGATGCGGCTACAACACGGTCACTTTACAAGAGGAGAGCTAGAGGAACAAGACTTTGAAGGTGGCAACACGTCGTATATATTGTCGCAATACTGTCGCTGCTGACAGCTTTTCGCATTGCACTGTAGTGGTGGTACTTGCTCCTTCGGCTCCATCTTGCTCAAACTATACGTAGGCATACTCTACGTGAACTTCAAGGACGCAGGCATCGGGCTTGTAGGGGACAGGCTCAGGGAAGGGAGAAACCATTGCCGGAGAGGTTGAGCAAGGCGTCTCAGCAGCAGAAGACTCAGCCTTAGTAGGTGTAGCAGACGCAGTGACCACGGCAGACGAGGTAGGAACGACGGCAGAAGACTGGGTGACGGCCGCACTGGTAGCGGAAGAGGCGGCAGCAGAGGATGATGAGCTGGTGGCACCGCACGACGCCAGAGGTGCGACGCTGTCGATCTTGGAGACGACCCAGGAAGAAGCATCGTCGGTGTAGAGCTCAAAGTAGTTCAAGTGGTCGGCCACAACGTTTCCGCCGGCGCAGACTGGGTCGCCGGCAGCACAGTAGGATCGAAGGACGGGTGCGTAGCGATTGAGGCGAGCGAGATCCTCCGGCTTACGCCCGTTAGACTGCTTGTCGGCACCGTCAAGCACATTGTAGGGCTGGTTGGCGGTATGCATCACGTCTCCCCAGAGGAGAGCCGCGGCGACTGAAACATGTTAGGAAGGACATTGCCGTTATATCGTCGAAGTCGCTTACCCGCTTTGCCTGCAGCAGAGTTGTTGTCTAGGCCGGTCGAGACGAATGTGCATCCACCCTATATTGCAGTACGTAGTTAGCACATGCCTCACGGGTGCCCGGTTCTCGCGTGATGCTTACCGGTCCTCCAAGCACATCTCCGGCCACGTGAGCTCCCTCAGAGTACCCATTCACCACAATGTGCGAGCAAGGGCACTTCTCGTTGAAGGCGGTGATCTGAGAGATACCATTGCGAGCGCCCTCGGCAACTTGGTTGCAGTAGTCTCCACCAAGGGTTACATCAAACTGGATGTCAATGTAGTCGCAGCTCTTGCCCTGAGCAGTCAACTTGCCGCAGGTGGCTTCGACGAAGGGGAAAGTGCGACCGTCATGGTATGGGGCGTCGTTGCCACGAGCCATGAATATGACCACATCGGCACAAGTTGCGTCGAGCTTCGGGGGCACGGTTTGCGCAGCAGCGAGGGCGGAGAAGGCGCCCAGGGCGATGGTGTTGCGAATACTGAACGACATGATTAAGGATTATGTTTGTATAGTAATGTACAGCGATTAGAGAGTGTGGAGGTGGAGACCGCAGGTAGGGCTGGAGCTGCAAAAAGAACGTGATGGGCCTTTTAGGGGTACCTGGGGTATCACATTGCAGCAAGAGGGGACAGCTTTAATACATGCAGTATACGAACACGTTAAATTTGATCGTTCACCTGGGCGTCAGCATCGCTTACGGTGGAGACGTCTATACGAGCCTGTTGTGGTTCCATCCCTTTTGCCCTGCATAGGTGCCCGAACAATCGTTGCGGTTGCTTGCATCCTCGAGCCACAATCTCGTTAGAGGATTACTAGAAGAAGAAGCTACCAACAGCTGCGTTCTGTTGGCGTTAGTCCTGCCGGTAGCCCAGCCATAAAGGGATAGAACAGCATCAGTGCCACCGGGTATTCTGATATCTCGGCAACCCCTACAAAAAGCTTGGTACTTGAGATTTGGATAACACGGCAGTACGACAAGATGTATTCGTACATCGGCATCCCGTTGTTCTGCACATGGTGGGTCTCGATGAACGCGTTGCTTCTCAGCTAGAAGATGCTCATGTCACAGCAGCCGTGGTGACATAGCGACGTATCAGAATAGAAAGCGCCTCGCGACTAACGACGGCGCACAATCCTTGTGACTATGGCGCCTGAGTCCCATGAGTCTTTTGGCGACTGAGCCTATGTAGACGCTGTTCACGACTCGCGTCTGTACCTACCTTACAGTTCTCCGTCGTAATAACACTCCCATGGCAATCGGGGTTTCTTCCAATCATGCTAGTCGAGGAGTAGAACTTTCAAATATTGCCCAGCTAGGTCTTTCCAGGGATCTTGCACCTCATCCCACGACTTCCAGTGATCAACGCGCCAATAGGATTGCGATCCTTGAATAATCCAGGGGAACTGATCCCGCTGGAAGATAGCATCCGTTGCCGAGCCTGGAGATTCCATTTCTTAAGTTTGAGCATCTCGAGACTACTGTTGAGGCATCCATCAGAAATGGTAGTAGAGTGCTCTGGTCAGACATAGAGCGGAAGCGACTTGCAAGACCACGGCCCTCGCGAAGGGTTTAATTCCAATCACGTCAACGTACCGTCGAGACTCACAGACTTTTTCGTCCCCTTCGTGTTCGAACAAAATCTGTCGTTTTTGCTGCCTCTAGAACGACTTAGTTTTCTCTTTCCAAAACGCTCTCCACGCAGGGTCGCACTGAGACTTTTTCAGTGTTTCGTCGTCGCGTTGATAGTACCGTCCCCCAAATGCTGTCTCAGGTGCGAGTTCCAGCCCAATGCGATGAGAAAAGGGAGTGGCGTACTAGTATCTATCAATCACACACCGAAAGAACTCGGAATATATCACCAGTTCAGCTAGCATCTAAAGCTTGACCAGATTTAGGAAGAAAGCGAGATATTTTAGCATCCGCGAGCACGACTCTTGATAGCTGTTTTTAACCAATTTTTGGACCGGCGAGTTCTCGTTCTTCTTCGAGCCATGATAAGTGAACCCTAATGGTCGCGAAGACGCACCCAATGTACTATCAGCCGCAGTTCTACTTTGTAGAAAAAGAGTAGCGTGCATACTCAAGTGTTAAGATTAAGTAGTAGTAGTGGTACCTAGGTAGTACCTAGTAGAGCCATACGACAAGGTTCTGATTATCGTAAACTTGTTGCGTCACTCCGGCATCATCGATCTCTCTGGCGACATTCTCTTTAGCAAGACTTAACTCGCTGTAGCGGGCATCGTGGCTGCTTCTTTACTGTACTGATATCCGCGCGCGTTGCAGGACGGACCTCGGAAGCTGGAAGACGCGCGCACATGATTGGCTGGGAGAGGCTGTGGGGTAACTCCGCCAAGTCTACCACTTCGCTGCGAACATCACCCTACCTAGGTATTGCCACGAGGCTTTGTCCTAAGTAAGATGCGCAAACAATCATTCTAAAAGCCAAACCCAGAACCCATTG